TGTGGTCACCTCCGGGGCAGGCGGGAATCGAACTCATGCGGAAGTGGCTCTAGATTCTCAGTGCTGTGCTTTAACCCGCTGCGCCACCAGGGAGGTCCCCCCCTTTTTTTTTTCTAGATCAGTAGTTTCATATCATCATGTCCTAATGTTTTCTGCCTGTAGTTGAATTTGTATAGAAAATAAATCTTACGCCTTCTCCTTCATGTCTGGGAAATGTGAGCCATGTCACGTGACAGCTGTGGTGTTGTGAGGAAGGAAAAGACAGCTGGGTAACTACTAAGCCAAGTCCAGCACCAGGAGCCTGGGTCCCATCTTACCCACCTGGTGATCACTAACTCTCCCATTTTTCCACTTGTTCCTCCTACAAGGAGAAGTAAGCTCCCTTCAGTGACATTGTTTCCCCTGAGTTTGACAGACAGCTTATGTCTCCAACCTGGAGATAAGGAAGAAAGGAGAGAAAAATGTAGGGTTAAAGAAAACACGTAAAAGATATGACATCCTGGGCATTTTAGCACAATGAACTTTGCAGGGTTAATGCAGATCAAGGTTATTAGACATGTTAAATGGAAAAATAAAACCGTATGTAATGGGGGAAGTACATTTAAAAATACATTATAAATGTTTGCATTTCAATTTTGCAGAAATATGATAAGGAGTCTTTTCCCAGAAAATTCTTCGCTTTCCAAGCCATCTGGATGACTAAAGGGCAGTGTGTGTCTTCTTTTGTCCCCTGAACTTGCACTCTGTGGCATGTTTCCCTTGCTGTCACTAGACAAGGCATCCAGAGAAAAAACATGGAAAACCGACTGGACAAGAAGGTCTAAAATTACTCAGAAGTGATGTGCCAGGACTCTCCAGCAGGGCTGGGGCTGGGCTGGGCAGAGCTCACACCAGAACCACCATCTTGCAAAAGGTCGAGAAGCTTGAGTTTTCTCTGAATTCTGGAGTTGTGTCTTGAGCGCTCATTGGGAAGTGCTACTCTCCATGGAAGCGTTTGGAAAGCAGCTGTCAGAGGCAGGAAAACCCCCCGGGGAGGATTTTCACCCCTCATGTTATCTTTGCCACTGTTGGCCTTGACCTCAGCCTCTCCCACTGCAACCTGCCCTGAGCTCCCCTAGACCCGAAGCCTGTCGCCCCGGGATGGAATGGGACCGCACGGCTGCAGTCCCTTTGGGACTCATTTGACCTTTTGGCTTATTTGGTGTCCAAATGGCACCCTCCTTCGTCACTGTCATTCGTTTCTGACTCCTTGAACTGCCACCCCAACCAGCTTCCCTTCCCGCCTCTGTCCAGTCCTCCCTTTCGGTGGAGACTCTTCCTCTGCCCTCCCCTCCCCCTTCACGACCTTTTCTCAGGCAATCACACCCGTGCTCACGGCTTTGATCGCTGTCTAGGAGCAGGCGACGCTCAGATCTCCGTAGCTCCTCCTCATCTCCAGAGGCTGAGACCTGCTGCACAGCCCCAGCTCCTAAAGGCCTCACAACCCCAACATGCTAGAAACTGAGCTCCCAGCCCCCTCACGCAGCCTCTCCTTCTGGGTCACCACGTTCAGCAACGCACCGCAGCCAGAATCGCTGCGGCATCCTCAATCCTTTCACCATGCTGCTTCTAGCTCTCTGTCTGCTTCTACCTCTCAGCCTGGGTAACTGTGGCAATTCTCTGGCCTTCTGCTCCCCTGAGATGTCATTCACCAGCGACCTGTGTGTGCTGAAAGTGCACAGCATGGCTTGATATGGGTGCAGATGTAGGGATCACAAGAAGGGTAGTTAGTACGCCCACCGGCTCACACAGGTCCCTCTGCCTTGTTTTGTCCCCTCCAGTCCCTGCAGCAAAAGGACTGACTTTTCCTTTTAAAAAATCAGGTAATTTTATTACCCTGCAGTGGCTGTCCTGAATTCAGCTCAGAGACCAGACTCCACACGTGGTGCCACAATTTTATTACCGGAACTAATTTACCTTCACCACCTCATGCTGCTCCCCCAGGGTCTCCACACTCCAGGCTGGGGCTCTTCTCCAGCTTTACATAACAGACCTGCCCACCCGAAGACCCCATTTTCTTTCCCTCTCACTCATTGTTCAGGAGTCCATTTAGGAATCTCTTTCCCTCAGAGACTTCCCTGGCTTGGCTGTGGAAGTGTCTCCTTTGAACGTCTCCTAACAGAAAGTTTGGAACACAGGACGGAAGGCGACGTTTTGCTCTTGCTGTCTTGCCCAGGAGTCGAAGCTCACTGCATCATTTTCCACTGCAACCTCAGAGCCTGGCCCAGCGCCCAGTCATTTAGTAGATACTCAGTAAAAACTGTTCAATTTTTAAAGATAAGTACTTAAAGCATTACAATAAAACTGAGCTGCAATACTTACGGGCAAATGGGGAAAGAGTCCCTGTGTTTAAAAAATAATATGATCTATTAGGTTTCATATTTTTGAACTGAAATCTATCAGCAAAATGACCCATCGTCGGGCAACCTTCTTTGGGACAATGGAAGCAAGTTCCCTGGTGACAAAAAAATAAGAGGTAATTAGAAATGTAATTAGAAAGGTTGACCTTCAATAAACACATGCGGTATATATTATTAAACTATAAAATCTTTCAAATCTAAATAAAACGTGTGCATTTAAAAATGAGTAGGTTGACTATCAGGCCACCCCTGCTTGCTTTTGAAATAAAGGAAAGTACAATAAAAACCAGCTAGGGAAAGGAGAAATAGTCTAATAGGAAATGGGCCAATGATAAGAACAGTTGACCCACAGAAGAGGAATCACAATTAGTCAATGACTATGGGAGGACTAGACACTCATCTGATGTCTGATGAGTTGTATGTGCGTGTGTGTGTATGTGCGCGTGCGCTAAAACAACATACAAGTTCACCCTCAGATTTTTATACTTAAAATGATTAGCAATATAGGTACTGATGAAGACATGGGACCAAGGATTCTTGTTCGCTTCTGAGGAGAATGCAGATTGCATTCAGCAACTTGGTAATGTCAAATGAAGACAGAAATGCACTTATGCTTTGACAACTTCACTTCTATTATGTGCCATACAGAAAGTTCCTCGGAAATATGTAAAAGGCATGCAGTGGTGTTTATGGCAGAACTGCTTTTAATAACAAGGAGTGGAAATAACCAAAACATGCATCAGTAGAGGTGTGACGGAATCATGGTGGCTGATTCCTACAAAATAAATACAAGAGATATATTTTCATCAAAGTCGATCTTCAATTTACAAGTCAATGAAAAAAGCAAATCCAGAAAGGTACTTATAGAATGCTACAATTCTTTCCTATATATTAGATTCACTTCAAACCTTGGGGGAGGGGTGAAGGGGATAGAAGGAACTTCAATTTTATCTGCCTGCTTTAAAATCTAAAGCAAAACTAACAATATGTTAACATAAAAAGACCTGGATAGCAGTGTTCTGAGTATTTGCTTCTTTAGGTTTGACCCTTTAGATCTATAAACCATGTTCGTTTAGACTGAGATTGTAATAAAACACCCCATTTAAAGCTCCTGTTTTTAACAAGGAAAACTCGAACAATAACAATAATAACAAGGGGTCATATTTATTGAGCACTCAGCCAGCACAGGCCACTGGTCTGATTTACATGCATCTAATGCAATGGCTCTCCACAAAGTCCCTGTTATTTTGAAGCCTTTAACCTCTTACTTAACAGACGAGGAAAGTAAAGCACAGAGAAGTTAAACAAGTCACTACATTTGCAAATCTAGTCAGTGATGGTGTGAGGAGGTGGACTGAACAGACAGTGTGGCATGAAAACCCCCTTTATTTTAGTTCATATCCTTCATTTCACTTCATTTTTTGATTATTTAGTAAAAGTACAATAAAACACATCAAGGAAATTGACACAATGTTCTCTAGTCTCCACCCGTAATTAGCATCCGTGTCACAGGACCCTAAGGGTCTCCCGTCCGTCAGCTTCATCCCCGTGATCTCTGAAGGTGCCTTTCTGTGTGTTTCCACCTGCTTTCAGCACAGTTAATGCCAAGATGCCCTTAGCTGCTCATAGCACCTCTGGGGCGGGAGGAAGGAGGCGCAGAAGGTGGGGTTACAGGAAAACAACCCGTATTTGGTCCGCAGGCTCTGAGAAGGCAGTTGAGCGCCAGACCTTTGAGGAAGGACACCTGGCTCAGGGCGTCGGGACAGCCCAGGAAGCTCTGCAACGGGGCAGGGACACCCCTAGCCCCCCAGCTCCTCACCAGAAGTACTAGGACTGAGGGGAACTTCAGCTGAAATACCACCTTTTTTCCCCCTGATAAAATGGGATTAGGTTTCTAAAATATGAGAAGGAAAATCTTTCCACTTCCAACTACAAAATAGATTTTCTTTCTCCTTTCATAGTGGTAACCAAATGAAAAATACGTTCCGCTCAGATCTGGCTCTGTGTGCTTCATGACACAAGCAAAATCAGATTTGGCTTTTTGATGTGTGAGAGGCTCCTGTGAGTGGCCATATCTTCACTGTGCTTGGTATAAATAATTGAACTTCAGTAAAATAATTTGCATGTTCCAATGAAGTAGTAATATGTTTGTCTGGTTGTAGCTATTGATTGGTTCAGGCTTCTCAGAATAGCTTTGACGATGACATTTAAAATATACACACAGAAATATTTTTGCCCTGGACTTAAGGAGGATCTAATTACTGCAAAACAAATAGCCAAAACAGCAAAATTGGATATAATCTTCAAAAGAGCTGAAACAACCAGAATACAAATAGCAGGTTTTGTTATTTAAGCCCTTCAGCAACCAGCTCCTGTTTACCACTCAGTACAGAAATCTATTATTCCCCAAAATGGCAGCTGCTTTTTTTTTTTTTTTGCCACACACTCCAAGTCCTAATTTTTAGTTGGCTGATCATGCTTCAAAAATGACTTGCTAATTAAATTCCACGGCAAAGTGCTTTACTTACTGCTTTAAAAGATTCGTAGGATCTACAAGGGTAAGCAATAAAGGCATCGGGATTGAGAATGCTTTCAATATAGAATCGGTGACTTCGGGCGTGGTTGCAATCAAAGAAGGAAACCACTGCTGTGAAAACAATTTCCAATTAACTGATGGCAATGGACTGATGAATAGATAACTGATAATATAAACTAGTTCTTAGAAGTTTGAGACAGCCAGACCCATGCGTGTAGGCATGCAATTACACACTTACTCAAGTTACATGTCATTTTCTTTATACCGACGGATTCTGTGGGTGAGTCTAAAGGGACATTCGCAGAGGCCAATAGATAAATGCAGAGGTAGATGACTGTGACATTAACATCCTCAACACTTTCCAGATCTCTGACATAAGCACTTAGATCTTAAAGAATCCAACTTAATTCAGTCAGCTCTCTGTCTCCCCATTTCTGCCCAAAGGAAAAAATGCACTTCCTACTCAATCACACAACAGCATGCCAGGTAAACTAGATTCAGCTGGGCTTCAAGATGACAGGTCGCAGCATTAGAAGAAAGCTAATGACAAATCCGTTTTGTTACTGTCAGGCATACGCCTCAATGCCATCAACAGTGGGGATTATTGTACCGCAAACAAGACAGATGTAATTTTACCGTGGATGGTAGAGTTATCAAAGTGTTCTAGTTATGAGTGTTTTCTTCATATGACAACATTTTCTTGTGAGGCCTGGACTGTTGTTCCAAAGCTCAGTTGCCTTTGAGAAAGTGGATTTTGGTTTCACTGTAATGGTATCTCCTTATTCTACAATGGCGGCCTTCTGTCTCCAGTGAGTTGCTCTAGGTCCTCACCCTTTGCAATATCATGTTATTATTCCTCCCTTCAGGACATGCAGTCTATTTTTTCATCCCTGGCCACCCTGAAGCTAGTCATACGGCTTGCTTTGATCAAAAGAGCATGGAGGGATGGAGATTGTGCAATTTCCAGAGCCTTGGTGTTAGGAGATGGCCCAGCATCCTCTCCTGTGACCTTGGAAGCCAGCCACTATGTTAAGAATCCAGGGTACTAACTGGGGAGGTGGGCTCTGAAGGATAACAGACCACTCAAAGACGAGCCGGTGCCAACACCCCAGATGTAGAGGCCCATGTTGGATCTTCCCACCAGCTGAGTCCAGCCCAGCCCCCAACTGGATGCAGTCACGAGTCACCCCCATGTGGACACATGGCAAAGCAGACCTCTGAGCCTTAAGTCTCAGAACCATGGCAGAAAAATGGTCACTATGGCTTTTTTATGCCAACAGATATGCAATGAGACAGCATAATTTCAAAAATGTAATATAGTCAGCAGAGGTCAATCATGTTCATTTTTTTTTAAACAAGGACTTCTCTTATATCAGGCCTCTTAATACAGATTTCTCTGTGCAATTAATTGTGGTTTAGACATGAGGATTCATTAGAATATTGGGAACTATGATTTTTAACAGTAAATGGTTTCTTCGTAATACATAAATGCAAAATAGAATATCTTGCAGCCTTAAAGCTCGTCTAAAGACAATCTGAATGATAAATATGCTTTTAATCTAATAACGTTATAGGAAATCTAATGTCTCAAAGTGGTATATTATGATATATTTTACTTGAATTGATTCTTCACAAAAGTTCAAATGTTCTGTGTATAACACAATGCAGTTATATAAAAGAGTCTGATGGTCCATATTTTTACATCATTGTAAGGAATCTTCTTATTTAAGAAGATAAAATTCATTCTGCTTATCTGTACAAGGTGGAACTGGTTTTAATTCACAGTTTGAGTCTGTGACTTACCAGTAGATTAATCAGTATTTTTTATTAAATAGTCTTTGCAAATAGATACTTCCAAATTTACTCATTCAGAACACATGTAAAATTTTGAAATTTACCTCTAATGAAGAACAAATTTAAGCTGCCTCAATGCCATGATGTGTGTCTTTCTTCTCTAATAACCAAGTGAGAGAGCAAACACATACTCTGACAACGTAGGATCAGGGGGTGAGATATTTAGAATCATCCAGATAGCTGCCATTATGTCATTATGCTTTATTCCAAAGTATTTATAACGCATTTCATTTTTGGTATGATGACAAAATATAGAGATAGGGAGGAATGGAATTTTCAAGCAAAAATTTTTTTCTGCTTATAACTAAGAGCCTTATAGTATTACTGGAATTATAAAAGGGTAATTACTATTTATTCGCCCAGTCTTTTTGACCCAGAGTAATTCTGCTAAAAAAGTCAAACCATGTGTCTCTCCTGCTCAAACTTCCCCATGGCTTCCCTCTCAGCTGAGTAAAAGCTGAAGTCTTTTCTACTGTTCACAGGCCTTTATCTCCCCCCTTTGCCCTTTTCTAGTCTCTTGCAGGTACTCCTCCTCTCTTTCACTCACCTCAACCAAAAGACTCCTCCCTGGACTCTCACACAGGGTCCTGCCCCAGGCCCTTTGTCCTTGCTAGCCTGGCCCTTTAGCCGGGGATGCCCTTCACCCACATCCACATGGTTCACTTTTTTTGGTCACCTACTCAGTGAGGACTCCCTGGCCATCCCATCAAAAATCTCTGCTTCATTCCCAGTGTCATCAGCATATCATATTCCCATTCCATGCTTTATCTTGTCTCCTAGCACTGGTTTCTTAATTGTTTTTCTAGAAAATTAGATCAACTCCTTCAGGGAAGGATTTTTGTCTTCCTTCCAACATCTGCTGTTCCAGTCAGCATGTGCCCATAGCCAGCACTGTCTAAATTTGTTGAATGGATGAACACCTTTCCTAGTTTCTAGCAATGACTTTCCAAATATTCTGCCAGGCCCTGGAGACACAAAGGTAATTAAGAGCTAGAACCTGATCTTGCAGATCTCACAATGTGAGTGGGGCTAAAATGCCTTTTGATATTAAATCACATTATAAGCAAAAAGATGTGCCCCTGTCCCAGAAGGGAGCCCAGTGACTAGGAAACATCCCTCTTGAAGTTTTAGAAATCACTTACCTTTCTTATAAACATTGAAATCAAATTTAAATAAAGGTGTGATTAAGTCTTCACATCCTGGCATGTGCTTCCCTCCATTTGGATAAAAGTCCAGGTGTCCACAAGCATTAATAGTCCCGGCACCTGCGGTAAGTAAAAGCAGAATGAGTGCTTCTAAAATCCCCTTCTGGGAGCCAGGTAGTTTCTGTTTCTGTTGAAAACTGACCAAAGTCAAAGAGCAAGCGAACTCCATTCGTGTGGATGACATCCACAAAGCTGGCGTCCGAGGGGTCCAGCCGGACTTCGTTCGGTGTGTTGTGGAAATACGGCCCGGCCGGGTCCAGCCCTGGGAAAGAAGACGAGGTCTATTACATGTTGCGCTGTGCACAGCAGAGTGGCTTCCTTGGAAGGATGGATGGTGAAGATGAGAGGCTCCTTCCGCGTGTCTTATGTAGCACAGGTGTGTAGACAGGGTCTATAATGCAGCTTCTACGTGAATCTATGGCAATGTCAGACTCCTACACACAAGTAAGGTTGTGTCGAGGGGAAGCCAAGCGAGTCAGAATGGTCAAAGAGGCTGTTGGGGGACTGCACGTGACTCCCACATATACACTGAGGGTGGTGGATTGCAGACGGCCTCGAAAGCAACAGCTACAGGCAAACGGAAGTCAAAATGAAAGAAGGGGCCCTTCCATAGGTAAAGATAAATCCCAAAACAGGACAGTCAAAATGAGAGAATCCAGTTCTCTGCTCAGTCTCTCTTTTCTTTGGAATCAAAACCACAAGTCCAGCCACGGGAAGTGACTTGACTCGGTCCTCCTATGTCCTCAGAGCCCATGGGACCAGACCAGACTCAGCCCCTTGTCTCCGTTTGATTGTCTTGAAGACATGAAGTTCAGACACCTCAAGGACTCTAAAATGCTGTCACTGATCACACATCCACTCATTTACACAGAGACAGGGGTTATCAAGCACTCACAATGCGTGTGAACTGGCTCTGGCACTAGAGAAGGGCCAGGCCTTGTATGCAGGGGCCCTGTGTCCGGTAGAGAGGACGCCTCCCTCCAGCGTGCTCAGTGCAGAGACAGGTGGGCACAGGCACTGTGCCCACACAGGAGGATAGGTGCCCACCTTGGAAGATGGGACCCGCTAGGTAAAGGTGGGTGGGAGCATCCTCAGGGGAAAGAGAATGCACAGCGCCTCCAGGAGGGGTCCGTTAACACAATGGGGGAGCTGATGACTTCTCTGTTTCCAACTGGTTTTATCATAAAGCCAACGTCACTTTCGAGTCTCGCTTCCTGCTTCCTTTGTTATTCAAAGAACATGATTGTTCAAAAACTACTTAGAAGGAATACTGATCACAACATCCAAATGATATAAATTCTTTGGACCTTCAGAGGACCTCTAAACATTTATTGTTTTCTGTTTACTCGATAGGACAGTTCACTTGGCAGGAAAAATTGGAGTTGTGTGGTATCCGCCTTTTGAAATAAGAATCAAAATCCAGTGAATTTACCATAACCCAGTGTGGGTTTTCATTTTATGGCTGGGTTGTAGGTCCCTAGGCTGTGTAGATGACCTAAGACTCTATACACAAGCTGCGCCCAGACACATCCTTTCTCCTGGGCTTGAAAACTTAAAGGGGGATTTTTGACAACCTGTGGCACCACAATAAAAATAGTGACATCAGCGTGTTCGGTCGGGGTGAGCCGGAATCAGATGGGGACAAGAAACAGGAAACTTTCAGTGGAAAAACTTATTATATAAGGAGACTGCTGAGGCAGTGTATCTGAAACTTAACATGGAATTATTTTTTTTAATTTCAAATTTATTTATGTATTTATTTATACATTAATCGATTGATTCATTGATTGTGTGTAGAAGAAACAAGGTGTAAGCCAGATGGGTGTTAGTAGGTTGATAAGATTCATCAGAGACAGAGTGGGGAGCAGAACAGGCAGATCTACTGAAATACACTGCTGAGGGGAGCAGCAGGCAGGTCAGGAGAGGTCTGCAGCAACATGTGGGTCACCTCCCAGGCCAGGCATCAAATTCAAGCTTTTGCATTGATATTGCTGAGAGCTCTTGGCTACCAGGGATGCCCTAGATTCTCTTTATTTAATTTATTTATTTATTTTGCAAGTATCTCCTACCGAGCATCTCAGAGGGTCTTTATTTATTAACATGGAATTCTTAACATTTCTAGAAAGAAAATCTTGAATTTAAAAAAGTGCATGTGCTCATGTTCATGGAACTGGAAGTTTACTGGTTTATAAACAGAGCGTGAGCCTACTACGTGCTATGTCTGGGCCAGCAGTGGGTACTTTCTAAGTAGTTCAGAGTCAAATGGAAATAACAAGTATATAAATAGAAGACTGTGATATTTGTATCTCTCAGCTGTGATGGAGGCGAACTGCAGGGCGGCGTAGAGAACGAGCCACCTCGAGAGAAGGGGGCTGAGGGCTGGCAGCAAACATCTAGGGGGAGAGGGACCGGTCTGTGCCATCCTGTGCTCAGGAAATTGAGAGACACAAAGAAGCGAGAAATGCTAAGCAGTGAGGAAGCTCTGAAATGAGTGAAATGAGCTGGCTGGGCCTGGACTGACAGACCACCCCAGTGCTCGCGCACGGTAGGGCTGGGGGCGGCCACATCAGGCGGCAGGAGCGGCCAGCAGTGGCCAGGGCACAGAGGGCACCCAGCAGGTGCAGGAGACACAGGACAGGGCAAGGCTTACCAGTGATCCGCCCAAGGCCCGGGGTCCTTGACCCCGCTTCCCCAGCCAGGTGTGCTCCCAAGCTGTGGCCAATCAAGTGCACTTTAGAAGGGGAATATCCAAATTTTTCCTGATGGGTTTTTGAACAAGGAAAACAGAATAAGTGTTTTAAAAAGAGGTCAAATGCGTAAAATATGCTCACAATAAAAAAGTCACGGACAGGTATCTCCCTCTCTGGCCTGGTCCCGAGCCCTCCCACATCATCAGGTGGCCTGAAGAAGGCGTCCTGTTTCCGCCCTTCTCCCCATGCGAAGTGGCCTCCCGGTGACCAGCAGCAAGAGAACAGCCCAGCCTGTGCCTGGGCTTCCAGTCTCTGCCCTTCCAGCTGGCCTCCAACACAGGTGAAGGGCCCCTTACGTCCGTCCACGCTGTTGTCTGCCCCACCCTCGTTCATTTCCGCAAGTCAGCTCTACCACAGGTCTGGCCTGGCAATGGTTTTCAAAGAGGGGGTGCTAAGATATTCACAAGAGATTACTTGCCCCAAATTCGCACAACAGGCCTTCATGGGAACAAAGGAACAAGCATTTTAGTTCCATCTTCCCTTTTAGGCTCTCTTCATGATAACAGTAAAAATCAAGCAATTTCCTTCACTTGCATAAATAGGTGATTTGATCAAATGTGCCATCTTCCCAACAGTAATGACAATATTCTGTGCTGCTTTATGAAGAGTGCTTCCCCTCATTTACATGTGAATGGCTGCCTCAATGGAATGTCTGCTTCAATGGAATAGCTGCCTCCAAATGGCTCCAGGTCTGGGCCTGGGGTGCCCTTTCTCTCTGCTGCCAGCCTTTAAGTCTCTGCTCGCTCCCACCCTCCTCTCCAGGCTGGAATCTGAACTGGCCCTCACTCATTCTCCCCTCCATCCTTTCTCCTCCGCCAACACCTGCCCAGTGCCCAGGTACCTGCCTGCCCTGGGCCAGTGCTTCAGGGAAGGGGGCACAGCCCTGTGAGGAGGTGACAGGAACTGAGGTGTACAAGATGCTCACACCTGTCCCTCAGCTGCCCCTTCGGAGGGGCTGGCGTCTGGGTTACCCAAGGCTGCAGGCTGCTCACTTTTGCTTCAGTTCAGCAAACATTTCCCAGTTTCATACAGTCACGACTATTCATTTCTGTACTGGGATGAAGGCACCCAGACCTGAAGCCTCGGGGTCAACGCGAAGTTTAGGAAAGCTTCCCACACCTGCTTTTCTCTGGGGAGGACACCGATCTGCTTCCATTCTCTCGACATAAGGCCCTTCCCTAAATCCCTCCTTGGCAGAGGAGATGTGTGGGGCACAGGTGAGGGGCTCCCTGCCCCAGCCTGTGTCTAACCCTGTCCCAGGAGGGTCCACAGCGCCTCCCTGAGGCCCATCCCAGGGAGAGCGCTCCTGCCCCTCTCCCAACATTCCACCCTACCTAGAGAGCAGGCCCCGCTCACATGAACCTTACTTAGCATCTGGAAGAGCGCCAGTCCCTCCGCAGGGCAGTGGAGGTGCTGAAAGGTTGTGTGAGCCTCCTTAAAAGCTGAAGGAGTCATGAGTCTAGACTTTACTTCACTGCATTTTATGGCAGGAAATTACTTTCTATAATGGTGGTGCATTTGGAGATTTCTCAGTTTTCTCAGGATATTTTCCTTCTAAATAGCAGCATCTATTTTCTTTCAGAACACGTGTAGCTTAAGGAGTCATGCTTGGATTGGCCTAGAGGCCTAATTCACTGCCATAGGACCCTCTTTCGGGGGAAAACCACATTTCACACTCTAACTAAACAGCATTTGGAAGATGGAAACCGTTTATATTCATTAAGGACAAGTTTACAGCGTGAAGAAAACTAATAACCGAGATGGTCCAACACGCTGACCCAGGCAGTGACCTTGGGTGGAGGCCGGCCTGAAGGGATACCGCCACCTAGTGGTACCTTGTACAAACACAGGCATTTTCCAAGAACTTCCCTTTTCTGGGTATCCAAAAAATGCTTATCATTTCCATGCTCAGTGTCTGCATTAGCTATAAAAAGAACATAAAAATCATAAAAATTGCCCAACATTATTGGTGTGGTGATGAAAAACCAACTAAATGCACTTTAAAAAAAATCAACTCTCCTTACCACGAGAACATCAATAAAATAAGCCACCTCAGCACCCACAACGCGAAGATTGTTTACAGCATGGATATATTCCAAGGAACCGTTGATCCAGTTTAAATTAATGCAGTTCACATCTTCTGCCTCTAGCAACACCTGGTACAAGGATTAAGTGCAAGTAATTTTTAAAAAGAATTAAAAAAAAATCAATGACTGCACACTGGGTTCTGTCCTAACGCTTTTACATGCATTAACTCACTTCATTCTCACTTGCAAATAAGGAAACTAAAGCCCAGGTAAGTGAATGAACTTGCCCGGGATCACAGAGCTAGTAAGTAGAGCTAGGGTGTGATTCAGATGGCCTGCCTCCCCTACAGTGGATGGCCTTATAAATAATTAATTGCTTACTATGTTAGCAGCCTATTAATCTTGAGTATAAAAAAGGGACATTAATTTCATGGCATGAACATGGAAAAATTTCCCCCTTAAATTACACAAGAAATTGATTGTACCATTCAATCTTTTGTCAGATGTGAGAATTTACCAAAGAATAATTAAAATAATATGCTTCCATTATTCTGCAATTTAGAATAAGTGACAATAAATGGGAAATAGATCATTCATTTGATGACTCGGAATGAGGACAATGGGAAAAACCAGATGGATGTTTCCATGAAAGCGCATAGTACCTTGCAGCGAATGCTCACATTAAAGACAAAGCGTCACACTAGTGTAAAGGGCTTATTCACATCGTACTTTGCACATGTCACGTTGCCATTTGCCGTCTGCCTTCCACCCGGGTATGTTGATGCGGGTGATCTTGTCTGTTCCAAAGTTTGAGGCTTGGATAGTTAAATAATTAACTGCACTGAGCTCCTGTTGCAAATGAAAAGAAATTAAGGAAAAATGATAATTCAAAATGACTTAACATTTAGTGGAATTAGTTTAAATCTTCTCCAGAGCTTTCCATTAAATTTCTTTTTAACCACCTTTCATGTATTTTTAACCAAAGGGATAGCTACTGTCACATATTTAAAAAGTACTGAGAAATAGTCAGTGTTTTCTGTAATGCAACACACAGATGTAATCATGGAGAAATAAAAGTGTTTGGTCTTGGGGTGATGGTTGTAAGGCAGTATTAGACCCCTTTCAATCAGAATTTCAGTATGCTTTAGTTCTGCACACCACGTGTTACTGTAATTTAAGAGAACTGTCTTATGTGAGACGTGGAGCTTGATGCAAGGGAGAAAGAGGTTGCCCAGCCCGCTTTGTGAATGAAGAGCAGAGAGCAGAATCTCACCTCTGACATGCAGGAGCATACTAAACATAATTCCAGTCTTTAAAATTACATTAAATAAGATGACATTAAATATACTTATATATTTCTTGTATTTTCTTTTTTTTTTAAAAGATTTATTATTTTATTCATACAGAACTGGGGTACAGGCCAGAGATGCGGAGGGTGAGAGGATTCACCAGGGACAGAGTGGGGAGCAGAACAGGCAGATCGACGAAGTACACTGCTGAGGGGAGCAGCGGGCGGGTCAGGAGAGGCCTGCTGCACCATGTGGTCACCTCCGGGGCAGGCGGGGATCGAACTCATGCGGAAGTGGCTTTAGCTTCTCAGTGCAGTGCTTTAACCTGCTGCGCCACCAGGGAGCGCCTATTTTTTTTTTTTTTTTTTTTATAACAAAGCCTCAAAGACTTTAGAATACTTAAATTTAAGTGATTTTTTTTATTAAGAAAAAATCCAAAAGGCACAAGAATAAGCAATTCTATAGAGGCAAAAAATGACTTGAATAGGCAAATAGAAAGTTTGATCATAGGGGAGGCTATAGCTGGAAAATCAGCACATTTAGATACTTACAGAATTCAAATGAAGAGCTTATTAGTAAGTGCCTGAGTTTAACAGTGGCATGCAATTAATCATACAATCTGCTAGCTAGTTAAAGTACACGCAAGACTAAGAGAATGATTAGAAGAATCGTAAGTTGGTTTAAGCAGTCATTATAAGATAGCGAACGCTCATATCTATCTACGTGGCGGAGATTGTTCTCAGCGCTGTATAGAGAAGCTCGTTTAACCCTCATGACACTGAGGCAAGCAGAGATTTTAAACAACTGGAAGGAGCACGATGAGAAGTCAAATCACTTGTCCATAGTAGAGCAGTGCGAGTCCCGGGGAGCGGGCTCAAAGCCACAGGTCTTTCTCTGAGGACCACTGGTCTCCAAGTAGTGATCTGATCATAACGTTCTCTATGGGTAGGACCCAGACCTGTGTGGGATTTGCGGAGGTAGGAAATAAAGTCAGCTCTATCCAGGTCTGCTAGGAGGCATTTCTCTGCTAAATCAAGAAATCCAAGTGCAAAAACACCTGTTCCTTTGTGTATCGAAAGGAATCCAAATTCCTGCCAGCCCACCTAGAGCCTCTCAAACACCTACTCTATCCTGTTTCTATAGCACCAACACCCCCCCCCCCAAAAAAAAAAACCTTTTGGAGAGGGAACTTAGTAGGTGAGGCTGGCTTTTGGGGGGGGGGGGGTCTTTCCCTGTTGCTTTGAACAAGTAGAATCTCCAAGTGAGATTCTGCTGCAATTCGTGGGATTCAAACTCCCTCCCTGGCCACAAAAGTCACTGAGGATTTAGTAAGGTATTTTGCTCACTTCACATTCCACCTAACATCTCCCTCTCCAAGTGGCACCCTAATCTAGAAAATGGGAAACTCCCGACAGAATGGAAACATCAGAAGAAAACAACTTGGATTCTGCCAGCCCAGGCAGAAAGTTTAAAGAGTGTCAGCACAGAGCAAGTGATGGAGAGAAAGGGCAAGTTCAAGCACTTGCAAGTAGCTCGAGCCTCCTCTTTGCCCTCTGGAGCAGTGATGGAGCCTGACCCTCCCTCAGCTGCTGAGTCTTTGAAGTCTTTCCCAGGAGGCCTCATTCCCAGTGTCAACAATGGTCGCCCTGAGGCACGTTACAGCCTTAACAAAAGCTGCAGGCACAGAAGCCGCCTCAGTCCTGTGGCACAAGCATCACCCACAGGGCACATAGGCTCAGGAGTCATGCATGCCTGAGGGAAATGGGTTGATTTTACTCCTGCCAGATCTACAACTCTCAAAAGACAAACCTATTGCATCATGTTTACTCTGATAGTTCCTCCAAGAAAAGAGTATGCCAGAGTATTGCTTAGTTCTCTTCTGCTTTCTCGTAAACATGGGCCTGGAAATGATAATACAGCAGAGGGATAAAGTCTGGGATGATCCATTTTTTCAGTGTCACACCTGACTCATCCTCTAGCCTCACCACTGTTAAAAAACACCTTGACAGCAAGCCCTCAGGCTTCTGCATTGCCAAATCAGCACACATCTGCACATCCAGCTTCACACACGACTCTTTCCAAGCAGAAGGAAGTAGGCAAGTGGTGAGGACACAGTTTTTTCAAGCTCTCTTCACTAGGGAAGTATCTGGCTTCTGATGTTCTGTTAGTTAGGCAATGCAGCCTTGCCAGAAGACTGATCTTTACCTTCTGTTTTAGCACCTGTACCGCTGTCGTGCAGAAGGATAACAATAAAGATCAGGGATCTTCTAAGAACTGAGGGTCAAGACCAGGAGATACAAATGGCCCTATGTGCATAGGAAAATGTATCTGGAGCATCTAACGTAGACAGTGAAAGTGCCCCAAAATGTTTGTGTTCAACCTAGGTTCACTTTCCATTTTTTAAAATTGTGATAAAATACATATAACATAAAAATGACCATTTCAATGTATAATTCAGTTACAAGCATTGTTGTGCAGGAATTCCACCATCACCACCCTCCCTTTCCAGAATGTTCCCATTATCCCAAACTGAAATTCTGTCCCATTAAATAACAAGCCTCCATTTTCCCTGTTCCCAGCCTCTAGTAACTACTATTCAATTTTCTGGGTCTATGAATTTGACTAGTCTAAGTACTTCATACAACTAAAACCATACAGTATTTGTCTTTTTGTTTGGTTTATTTAATTGCAAATGTCTTCAAGGTTCATCCAGAGTGCAGCATCTAGTAGAATTTCATATTTTTTGTAAAACTCAGTACCTCCCCTGTCTCTTGGATAGCTGTAAAAATTAAACTTTTGAGGAATGTTTTTGGTGGGCCTTTCTGTACCCCCAAATCAGGACTTCTCCTTCCTTGTTCTAGGTAGAGGCACCATCTACAGATGCTGTATTTCAACTGGGCTTTGTGTCCACGTGTGTGTATATGTGGCGAGTGGCCAGCTACAGCTCAGACTGTGTTTGCGCAGGCCAAGGCTGTCTTGATTGGTGAGGCCAGGGCAGTTGTGACCAGCTTGACCAAAGCAAATTTCAAACACACAGCCAGACGCAGGCCAGTGCTCCTTCTCTGCCCCCTTGCCCTCCTGCAACCTCCGTCGAGGTGCCCACCTGGCTGACCAGCCTGCTTGCTTCTCTGTCCCGGGAGACCCTGCATTCTGTGGGTTTCAATGCTCACCTCCCAGTCAAAGACTTGTGAACGTCCTTTTCAGCCCGCGGGCCTGTAAGACTAACATTGCCAAGAACCTGCTCACACCTTCCTGCCTTCCCCTGGACGCTTCTTCTGCAGCCCCAATTTGTCTGGCAAGAGGACCCTTCTTCTTCCTGTCACTCATGTGTGAAATCTCAGGACAATTTATGTCTATTAAGTCTGGTTCAGTGTTACACTCAGGCTCACTCCTCTGGCTCAGGTGAGTTTCCCAGGTCTGGCCCATCTGCTGAGAGCTTTCTGTTGAACACCGTCATCTAGAACTTTCTGTGATGATGGAAGTGGCCGCATTTCACTGTCTGGCACAGAAGTCGCCAGCCATGGGTGGCTGCTGAGCACTTGAAACATGGTTGGGGGTTAAAATGACTTTTACCTGCATGTAATTTTTATGGTGTAGCCAGCTGAGGGTGGTCAGACAGCACAGGACCAAGTGGCCTCTGGGTGCCTCTGGGTCTCCCTGTTGCAGGGACTAAGGTCCAGTGCAACCAGAGCAAATGTCCCAAAGCCTCTCTGTGACCTCTCAGTGGAGCCTCGTGGCAGGATGAAGCCCAAACTCTACAGGAAGGAAACCGTTCACCTCTGCGCTACGTCTCTAGCTAAGTCCACATCTGAGCACTTCATCTCTGCCCCCAACTCCTGGCCATTGCCCAAACAAGCTCCGAGGTTCTCCCCTATGCATTGCATTGTCCTCGACACTCCCTGAGCTGTCTCTGCTTCGGAAAACCTTCCTTCCCATCCTCAGGAACACCCCCCACCCCCACATCCCCAACCAGACTTTCCTGGTTCAACTCTCAGCCTTCTCAGCCCCAAGGGAAAGGCGACCTTAGCTCACTGTGATCCCAGTCTTTTATTTCTATTTTATATCAGAGAGATCATAATTCATGCTCTAATAGAGGTATTTATTTACATGTCCTGCTTCTTATAATAAAGTGAAGGCTCTATCTTTTTTATCTAACGTAATACATAATAGGCACTGATGCTTTTCCACAGTTTACATCTGGACGTCACTACATTAAGTGCACAACAGATCAAACTTAGCTTGTAGGAAACAACACACTCAAAGCAATCTTTATATTTAAATATAAGACATATAAGATGAGAAAAACTAGCTTACCACATGAAAAAATATCTACCTTTAAAACCAATCGTTCATGCCAGAAGAAGCTACTTACTGTCTCTACTCTTCCAGATCAATAGTCACGCCCTAGTTCATTGAATAAACTTGGCACCAAATCAGCAAGTTCGCTTACCTGATAGACTGTGGGGTTCTGTCTCGTGTAGAGCAGAAATCGGGTGTTTATCTTCTCTGGAGACCAGGGTAAACCTGCAAACTGTCTTGATAGAGTCCCAGTCCATGGTAAGCCATCTCTAAAGCACCCCAACCTTTCATAACAAACTTCATTTCCTGCAGTGAGAGGACAGCAGGTGTTAGGATCTTTAGAAAAGCTGTTTCCCTCTCTGAGGTTTCGCTGCTGCCAGAGGTGGCACTATTCTTCCCTTCTGGAAGAAGGGAGAATAAATGGTGGAGAACAACACCACAGTCTACCAGGAGAGGGTATGTAGCTCTAAATTAGTATGAAAATTTTATATTTAAGCACCATCAGAATGAAAATCTTTGCTTATTTAAATCTGCATTTCTTTAATTATCTATACCCTTGAAAACCCTTTTGTGCATTTCTGGCTGTCTGTGGGTGAGACAGACATTTGTGGATGAGATCTGCATGTCTTATGCCCACTTTTCTTGTTTCTTTTCTACTTTATTTGTGAAAATTCTGACTATGAAAGCAAATATGAATATGAACTCTGAATATGAAACCCATTCAGTCAGGTATTTAGAAAAGATACTCTAAGGCATAGTTTATATTTTCATTGCATGGCTTTCACCTCGCCTTATAGAAGTTTTGCATTTTAGCCAACTAAGAGCAACTTTCCCTTTACGGCTTCAGAGTTTTGTCTGTTTGGAAATCCTCCTTACACTTAACAATTTCACTTCATTCACTTCACTCCTTTCCTATTAAATGTTCATCTATCTGGGATTCTTTCAATGCAAAGCCTAAGATTTTTCATTTAAAATTTCAGTTTTCTGAGCATGAATTCGGACAGCTGAATCATCTCTGTTTCCGCACCTGTGGATATTTTACCTTTACTTCTAGCTGTCATCACCATTTTTTTATTAAGGTATCACCAGTGATGTATTAGTTACATTACTTGCCCCTGTTTTTCTTACGAGTAGCTTCTATTTTTATTTTTATTAATCGAATTCCTTCTTCAAAATTATGTGTCCTTTTCTAGTTTCTTCAGCCCTTGAGTCATTATATTTTGATATATTCTGCAACTGAAGTGCTTTATTTCCTCTTTGACCTAAAAGTTCTCTGAAGAAGCATTTGAAATAAAGCATATTTCATGCAGTTAGTTTTAATTAGTTAAGAAATTGTATTAATTGGTGCATTAATTCATATTTTATTAATCTCCACTTTCAAAGTGAATCGTTTCTCTATCCTACCATGAACAACCTTTTCCAATGACATAGAGAAGATGGAAATAGACCCACTAATCTATCCAAGAAATATTTATCTGTGTGCCCATTTTATGCCAGATTTTGTTCTCAGCCCTGGAATTAAGCAGCAGGACAGTAACTCGAGACTCACAGAGTCTAGCAGGGGAGAAAGAGGGGCAGATAATGGATCAGAATGACATGAACTCCAGCCTGGGTCAAACAGTGGCAGGTACTGGGAGAAACATCACATGGCAGGGACAGAGATGCCCATACCTTCAGGAGAGGCGGCGGCAGGGAAGACCTCACTTAAAAGGGTAACAACTGAATGCAGAGCCTGAAGGAAGTGAGGGGCAAAGCATGTCAATATTGGGGTGTGGGGAGAAGCACTCCAGGTAGAGGGAGGACAAAGTACAAGACACTGACTGATAGGACTGAGGAGCTCTGAGGAGGCCACCTTGATCTGAGCTGAGGGAGACTCAGGTCCGTGGCTCTTATTCTGCAATTTCAAAGTCTAGAAATCTCGGGGACGAAGGGTATAGTCCATTTGTTTATTAGTTTGCAGCAAACTGATCTGGTAGCCAAAACTGACCTAAGTGTGTATATTGTCTTTATCCCACTTCAGGTGGATGTTCGTGCAAAACACACACCACAGGTGGTAAGACCTTCGGCAGAGAGGTCATTGGAGGCACTGAGGAAAGAGAGCAGGCTGGCCTGGTGTGGCTTGTGTGTGGAGACTAGGTTGAAGCAGGCCAAGAGGAGAGGCAGAGACCAGTCAGGAGGCCCCTGCTGTGACCGAGATAAGAAACAGCAGTGGGCCCTCCCTGGTGGCGCAGTGGGTTAAGGCACTGCACTAAGAAGCTGAAACCACTTCCACATGAGTTCGATTCCCGCCTGCCCGGGAGGTGACCACATGGCGCGGGCAGACCTCTCCTGACCTGCTGCGCCCCTCAGCAGTGTACTTCATCGATCTGCCTGTTCTGCTCCCCACTCTGTCTCTGGTGAAGCCTCTCACCGCCCCTGAGCCTCTGGCCTGTACCCCAGTTCTGTATGCACAAATAAATCTTTAAAAAAAAAAAAAGAAAGAAAAGAAACAGCAGTGCTTACAACCAAGGAGGTGACAGGGAGGGGGCGAGAAGCCATCGGGTTCTGGATGTTTTTGAAGGAGGAGCCCACAGAATTTGCCAACTCTTGGCAGTGAGGTGGGATGGGAAAAATGTCAAAAATGGTATCAAGGATTTTGGCCAAAGCACCAGCAAGAATGGAGTCACCACACGCTGGGATGAGGACATCTTTATGGGGAACAGATTGGGGGCTAGAGATCAAGAGCTCAGTTTTAACAGGTACATTTGATAGGAATGGATACCTAAGTGGCAATGTCACAGAGGCAGGTGGGTACATGAGTCTGGAAGTCTAGAGGCAAGTTTAGCTGAAGATAGGACTTTGGACGTCTTGCTGTTCAAAGATCTGGGTATGGGTGAGATCATCAAGGGAGTGACAGCAGGTAAAGGAAGGACTGAGTCTGGAGACTCCCCATCATTAAGACATCAGGAAGATGAGGGGGACAAGCAAAAATGATTGCCAAGAATGACCAGGGAAGTAAGAGAAAACTCAAGAGAGTGTGGCCTCCTAGAAACCAACTTAAAACCTCCTGCCAGGGAGGGATTGAGCAAGAGTACCAGACTGTGCTAATGTCACACTGGGCATAGATGGGGAACTGACCGTGGGCTGACCAACATGGCAGTGACCGTGCAATTTTAGTGGCCTCTCAGGGTTTACGCTTGATTGGAGTGAGCTCAGGACAGAAGGGAGGAGAACTAGGAAACCCTATATGGACACGTCAGTAGGAAGGAGGGGTTCTAAATGGGAGAAACAATACTTTTGTGTTGTTGGAAATGCTGTGGTAGGGAGGAGGCAAACTGGTGAAGGGGAAGAAATAGAAGGGAGGTAAGAGGTGATGGAATCTACCATATAAGAGGAAGAGGTGACTTTGGTTAGGAGCAAACAACAGCCACCTCTTGTGAAAGACAGGAGAATGCACGGACAGGTACATACAGGGAGCTGGACAGATATGCTGGGGGAGGGCTCTTCTTTTTTCTTTTTTAATGATTTATTTATTTATGAATACAAGAAGTGGGGTCCAGGCCAGAGGTGCAGGAGGTGAGAGTATTCACCAGAGACAGTGGGGAGCAGAACAGGCAGATAGACTGAAAGACACTGCTGATGGGAGCAGCAGACGAGACAGGCAAGGTCTGCCACACTATGTGGGTTGCCTCCTTGGCCGGGGATTGAACTCGTGTTGCAGTGGCTGCAGGTAGCTTCACAGTGCTGTGCTGTTGGACCACCAGGGTGGGCCCAGGAAGGGCTCTTCTATGCTTGTTTGTTTTTTTTTACTGAAGTTGGAAAGAAGTCCAGAAATCAAGACTATTGGTTGAGAGGGAGGTGTTGGAAGTTTGAGGAGAGAAGAATGCAATAGAGTTTGAGAAAATGGATGGATTATGGAAGTAGAGTATAAAGCCTGGCAGCTTTGGGGTCCACTTTACATGAGCAAGATGAATTCACAGTAGCACAGTCAGCGTGGCTTATGGTTTCTGCAGGCACATTCAGCAGCACAGGTGCAGGCATGAAGTAGGCCAAGAGCTGGATTTAACCAGGATCACTGTTAAGGTGAAACAAGAGCAGCAAAGGCCACTGTGTACATTAAGGAGTGATTATGACTGATGATGGCCTTAAAGTGGGTGAGGAAGAAACTGAGGAGACAGCTGCCAAGCAGATGCTCTTTAAAACAAGCTATGCAATTATGTGAAATTTCGATTGTGTATGTATATGTGTGTATATACATATATCTCTACATATAGGTACACACACATATATCTACACATACATATTTATATCATACCCTACACCAGTGCACAGTAGCCATATTAAAAAACTGAGTCTACATCACATTTGTATTAGTACCCATATTGCATCTATTCAATTGGTAACAGAATCCATTTGCATTCTATTTTCTGGGGCCTGACATTTTACAATTTGTGCTTGATTCTATCAACTTCCAAACAGATGTCACTCCCTATTTGAAAAGCAAATATTTCTGATGGGCTCTAGGGATGCTTTTCAGCTATGACCGAGAATCCAGAGCTCAGCACAGTGCCTGGCACATAGAAGGCACTGTATTTGTTGATTTTAAAATGGATTAGTATCCTTATTCAGAGAGGATTTTGAGGGTAGTCTGTGGCTTCAGATAGCAAAGAGGGGCCCAAACTTTGATAGGGGGAGAGAGCATCTGACAAGAGAAAGTGACTCTGAGAAAAGAGCCCAGAGAAGGCTGTTCTTTTCTTCATTCTGTTCTGGAACTCATCAGTTTAATTGCTTTCAGCATTTTTACTCAGGACTTTTCTGGGCAAGAAAATCATAGGAAACAGAGCACAGTTCCTGGCAGATACTAAAACTAGTGATAACTACATCTCTCTTTCTTTTTTTCATGCTATGTGAAATTTCAATCATGCATGTAGATGTGTGTGCATATATGTGTGAATGTGTATATCTGCACATATGTATGAATATCATACACTATATCAGTTACACACCCGGTATCAGTGGAGTGCTGGAGAGCAGAGACTAAAAAACACTAAGAGTCATTGATTCTATTTTAATTAAATCATTATCAACTAACTTGTGCTAATAGGTACAATATCAAGCTTGGGTGGTAAGAACAGTCAAAACCAGTAACTACTACATCGGAAATGTACCAGTAGGCCACAGCATAAAGAATATACATATGGAGTTCAACTGTAAGACATGTTCACAGAATATAATTCCGCCACAAAATCATGACACAAATTGAAAAAAAAAATCAATGTGGACATTCCATAAGCATTAGTCATTCATTCATTCAATGAAATGCTCACTGACGATCTACTATGAGCCAGGTATGGGAAATGAAGAGATGTATATATTTCCTCATTGACTGCCACAGACCCATCTTACAACTGAAGACATTCGCACTTCAGTGGACACATGACATGACCAAAGCCATCAGGCCTGTAAGCGGCAGAGCCGGAAGTCTAATATAAGGTCACCTGGCAGTTTTCATATTTTTGGAGACTTATGCTCTCCTGACACTCATAAGATTCATTCTGTAGTTCCAAATCGATGCATTTCCCTCCAATAATTAAATGACACACATACACAGAGCCAATATTTCCAAAATCTATGTTCATTACATTTTGGATAAGAATGTACTCATTATTTTATAAGGAACGTAATAAAATCATGAGTCTTACCTGTTGCTGTGCCAAGGAACAAGAGTGCAGTAATCCAAATTTCAAACATCTAAGTTGATTTTTAGTCACATAAAATTCTCTTGAAGATCTTTACTCATGAAGTTCCCTCACTATCAAGTAAGACAGTTTTCTTCAAAATTATGATGCTACGATTTACATCCTAGGTGCAGAAGAGCGTGAAGCTCACGCTGCTTTTAATTCCTATGTCTTCTAAAGCTTGTGCCCTCACCTGGATGCCTACCTCACATCAAGAGATGCAATTATACTGGGTGTGCCTTGGTTACGTGATCGGTAGTTAAAATGTCTGCGGTTTTGCTGTTTCATCATTAGTAATATTTTGGTTTACCACAGACTGATTCACTCTTGAAAGTTATTTTAAGGATTGGGGATGCTAGATAACATTGAGAAGGTAATGTTTTCCTGAACTTATTGGTAATTATGTTATTGTCTAGAAATACCTGGGGTTGCTCAACTGGAACATTCACATTTCCTTCTTTTAAACCCGTATTTCCCTTTTAAGACAATACTGAACTGGTCCTTGGGGTTCTTATTAAGACTGCAAGACTCCCTTTAGCAATACCATCGGGAATCTTACAGAAAATAGAGGTTTACTTCTTTTAAGCCTTAGAAGTTACAGAACACATCTCTGGACTGCAGGGATATGTAGAGAGAGACCCTTGGGGGCCAAGGGTGCTCTCGGTATTGGGACTGAGGGGTCAGGGATTAGGGCTTCAGGCTTACTCTTTACCAGAGATTACAAATAAACAGTGGGAATTTAAAACGTGGCAGGAGACAAGAAAAAAGAAGAAATACAAGTCATTCCAAGTAGTAAATTATCTGAACCAAGTAAGATCTGGTTCAGATCTGGAGGAGCCTGAGAGAGAGTGGGGAGCTTGTTTTTACCTGCTTCATGGCTGGCAGTGTGCTGCTTTGAGCTGGTCCCCTTTAAACTGGAGCCCTATGCCTCAGAGCTGAAGTCAGACACTTGCATTACCAAAAGTCAACTTTCAGTGTTTACAGGATAGCAGGATTATACACTTTGAGTATTTTCCCCCAACATATTTCTTAGCACAAACATCGATTTAGTACCAGTAGGCTTTGCTAAAAACATGTTAAGAGATTAAAAAAATGAACAGGGTTAATATGCCCCTCTTGCCTGTGTGGTTATATAAAATAGCGGTGCTGTCACCAACTATACAGCCTGCTTACTGGGGTCCAAATTCTGGCTCTGCCACTCATTAGCAATGACCTTGGGCTAATGAGCATCACTGTGCCTTTCCTCATCTGTAAAATGGGAGTAATCATAGTTCCTAACTCCCAGGGTCAGTTAAGTGACTGGATCACTTAATATACAAAGAGTACCTAGTATATAGTAGGTGTTCCTTTTATAACAGTTATTTTCGGCTGTGTCAATGGTCATAAGAGTCCATTTGTAGTTATATACAGCTTAAACAACCTGACCTTATTGTACATTGTCTTTATAAAATACATGAGTGAACACAAACTTGCCTTTCGGGCTATGACGTTAACTTAAAGTGATGAATATTTCAATCCAGATATTCTTAGTCAGTTTCTCAAATTATAAACATGCACAGAAGCAGGCTGGAAGTATTTCTTGGTTTTTACTTTTTTTGCTTCTCATCAACATAGCATTAAAAATTCAAAGTATCTTTAAGGCATTCAGCCTTTTCACACAAACATTATTACATTATGCAAGAAGTGGACAAAGGGGAGATTATGGACAACGGTAGTCCAGGTGTTGGGTCCTTTATTTGGTGGAAGTATTTCCTGCAACTCATAGCAGCCAGTCCACACTGGCATACAGCTGTGCCATGGTCAGAGATGCTTGCACACTGAACACCCAGTAGCAACACCGTGGAAGAGACACCCTGGAAACTTCACCCAACACCTGGTCTTTTTCTCCAAGTGCAATTTCAAAGAATCAGCACCTCCAGCCCACATACAGGGGCAGCCTAAGTAATGCCATCATCAGTAGCTCTTCTCAAAAGACCAGATCATCTGCCTGTATTCCCCGGGACAAGCACAATGCCTGGAACTTTATGAGATGCTACTAAATAGTTTTTAATTGAAGAAAAAAAGGACAAAAGTCTACAATAACTATAGCCATGTTTAAAAACCACGTTCTTCCTTGTTTTTCCAGCACCTTACAATGACTGCTCTAGCATTGAGCATGTGATAGAACTGTTAAGCGTTGATCCACTAGTCTTCTCTAGACTGAACTGTTCTGGAGCAACGACTAGTTTTGTTCATCAGTTGTGCCCCCAGAATCTAGCAACAGATCTGTCAGAACAGACATATGTTCAATATTTTCTGAAAGAAAAAATATAGCATTAGACTTCATTGATCTCATATCACTCAAAGAACTTCTTACTCTAGAGAGCTTATCATTCTGAGAATTGAAGACTCATTATGTTTTAACAATGATACTTAATGAGGGCTAGATATTGGTGAATTCATAGATGCTTGCTGAAATCAAGACAGTTCTGGCTGAAAAATGACACAGAGAGGTTAATAATAGCTTTTAAAAGGTCATCACAAAATCAAAGCTGTGCTTATGTCTGCCAGTCCCCTGAAATGAGAAAAACAGCAAATCCATTGAATTCTTGATTCAAAAGTAGAGAATTAATTCTATTAATTTTGTCCCTGACATGAAAAATTATTTTGAGGACTTAGTAAAGCAGAGGATTTCACAATATCGTGATGAACATTTCAAGATTAATGACAGAATCCTAAAGAACATGGCTACAACTATCTTAAATCACTTTTTTGGCTGTTTCTTAATGTGGGCTTATTAAATTACCCAAGATTTCAAAGGAAACGGTGCTGACATCATGGGGGGAAGAGCAAAGTGTGAAACAGGAAGACAAATTCCTCAGTCATCTTATCACTCATTCATTTATTCATCAGCTGCTGCGTGACTGCTGAGAACCAGGAACTGCTCCAGTTCCTAGTGAACATCCATGAACAAACCAACAACAACAAACCTGGTTCTCCCATATTCCAGTGACAGCTGCAGCCATCAATGCAGTGACAAGTTACTTACTGAGTATGTGAAAGGGGGCTCAAGCTTGACACACAAAAAGTAACAGCATAAAGGGAATTGGGATTTGATTGGAAAAGAAAGTTGCTATTCCCTTAGGTCTAACAAGGCCTCATAAGGCCCTCCCTGGTGGCGTAAGGGGTTAAGTCTTAGCACTATGAAGCTATCTGCAGCCTCTGTGGCACAAGTTCAATCCTCGGCCAGGGAGCTGACCCACAGGGCTCAGCAGACTTCACCTATCTCCCTGCTGCTCCCCTCAGCAATGTTTTTCAGTCAATCTTTCCCTTCTGCTCCCCACTCTGTCTCTGGTGAATCCTCTCACTCCTGCCTTCCGCAACTCTGGCCTGGACCCAGCTGTTGTGTGCATAAATAAATAAACCTTAAAAAAAAAAAAGAGTCCCATGGAAAAAGTGGCATTTAAGACAAGTCAAAGGAGCTGGGGGGAGTCCACTCAGTGGCACTCCAGGCCAAGGGACAGGTGAGGCCAGGCCTGGAGGTAGGTACATGCTCCTGTCTTTGAAGCGTGAAAAGGCCAGAGTAACCAGAGAGAGGGAGTGAGAGTGGAGGATGTGGACACAGAGGCCCTGCGGACCAGCGCAGGCCAGGCCTGAGTGGCCCTTGTGACACCCTCAGCTCCTCCTCTCAGAAGAGAGCGGCCACAGGGCTGGCTTGACTGGGGTCATCACAGGCTGGTTGCGCTGTTGCCAACATAGGAGAAGACAATGGCAGAGCAGGCTCTTCCGTGACCAGGTGAGCTGTGATGGTGGTGTGAACTGAGAGCATGGCAGGTGAGCTGGGAGAAAAGGATGGGCTGAGTTTGAAGGTGAGACCAGAGTTTCCTTTGCTATCGTCATTGCACTTTAGCTTAGTTTTTAAAGCATCTAATGAGAGAGCAGAGTCCTCTGTGCATGTTGTAGAGGCAGAAAAACTACTTCTTTTCCTGCTTTATTCTTGAATAATGGATTTTCTCTGCTGAGTATTGTCAGCATAATTCTTAGGATGGTTTAGTAGGACAAAAACATTTTCCTGGATTTGTTTAGCTTGATTGGCTTAAAGAATGCCATTTTCCTGTAAATTTTTGGAAATGTGTTCCTAAAACAGATTATGCTTCTAAAGACTATCTTTTTTCTTCAGACTTTATTTGCATGCACATTTTATAGTCATACACCACTTGCATGCAGACATAAAACAAGCATCTCCTAGGGAAGAATAACCTCTACTGAGGAAATATTGCTTTAAACTATTACTTTGTGAACTATAGACTATAATTAGATAGTCATCACATACTTGTTAAATTATACACAATAAAAATGCACATAGCATCAACACAATTCATTATAATTACACGTTACTCTACAAGGCCACTTGAAGTTTCCAAGTAGTAACTTTTCATAATAGTAATTTACTAGACCAGAATGTGGTCTATTAAAATTGCACTTTGAAAAATTCATTTAAATTCTTCCACATTCAGCACAGAAATCAGAGTAATATAATATAGAAAAATATCACCATCAAACAGGCAATTGCAAGGAAAAAAGAGGTTGAGAGATTTATATCTATCTCTAGAACTGAGGAATCATGTATGGGATCTCACTAGTATTTAAAGTGCCTACATTTGGTGAAAACATATAAATAAATACAAATGGTCTACATTTTAGTATCAGACTGTACTGAAGGAATTCGTGGCAATTTGGAGTGGGGACACTCAGAATGGGATCTGGGCTCTCAGTCTTGCAGGAATTCTTTAACTGTGTGATATTTGGCAACTTGCATAACTTTTCTAAGCTTCAGATTCCTTACCTGAGATATCGGGACTAAATGCTTTAGAGTATTACTGTAAAAATGAAATAGGATCATGCTCATTAAGAACTTGAGCCAGCGCCTCTCTGGTGGTGCAGGGGTTAAGTCTTAGCACCATGAAGCTATCAGCAGCCACTGCAGTTCAATCCCCAGCCAGGGAGCTGACCCACATGGCACAGCACACCACT